TATACTATCTAATAGGCTAGTATTGATTGGTACGAAGTAATAACTTAGTCAAATATCAAATACGATGCTTAATATGAGGTAAAGATAAGGGTTAGGAAAGCAACACACGTAGCCGAACCAAGGTGCGGAGTGAGATTTTCTAGATGCCGGACCAAGGATTTAGAAATACAAAGCTTATCACTTTGCATGCAAGATACTAGGAAAGAATTGTTATAGTTAGAATTATCAAGTTATGAACCTGTGGGGAACACGTAAACCCTAGTTACTTTGATTAATTGATTCAAATCGAACATTCAAAGTTGTTAAGTGTCTCTTTCAATTGCGTTAGTTATTTTCATTCATTTAGAATTATAAACCCCCCTTTTATTGTTTTCACTTTCCAAGAAATTCATTGACCAAACAATAGTAATAACAGGTTGAAGTTAAGTCTAGACTATTTTCCTCGTGGAAATGATCCCAACCTCACTAGTTGGGTTATTTACTTGACACAACCGCTTTATTTCTTATTTGAGATGTAAGTTTGAGCGTATAAACTGCGGAAAAAAAACTCTCAATATACAGTACCAACACTTACACTCGATATCAGAAACTCTCTTTCTGGATCTGATACCAAATGTTATAAAGTCTTCAGTAGAAAGACATAGAATAATCAAAAAAATGTATCGAGCAAATGTTTCTTTATTGTATGCAAACTCTCGTTATACAAGTGAGTTACAATGACTAAGCGCAGGAAAATAGGAACCAACATAAATGGTAGCTTAACAATTGGTAAACAGTTAAAAGATAAAATATCATACTAAGTTACCTACTGCTAACAAACTCCTATAAAGTAGGATAGAAGCTAACAATATCACGTATTTTAACAGACACAAACACATTATTGAAAAACAATTGTAATTGAAGTTTATAAATTTGGAAGCACCAATCTTATCTCCTACTTTGATGAAAGAAGCAACATAGTCTTATATCAACTGTTTTAGATGTTGAGCTTCCTTAGTAGCCTAGCACAAAAAGTTCTAAAATTAGTTTAATATAAAATTGAAATACAAGAATATGAAGTTCAAGTTCTAGTTAATTAGTTTATCAAAATTAAGTTTATATTAATTTTTAATCAATTAAGGTCAAATCCCTAGTCTTAAAATCACAAATTTAAACTAATCCTAATAAATTCCATATTCAAATCCTAAAGTCTTACAATCACAAATACAATGTAATCCTAGAATTTAATAATCAAACTAGTCCTAAAATATCAAATTCAAACTAGTCCGAGATTCTAAATTCAAAATAGTCTCAAATTCACAAATTTAAAGTACTCCTACAATTCAAAAATCAAACAATCTAGAGCTAAAATGCCAAATTCAAATTATTAATAGTCCTAAAATCTCAAATTTCAAGTTCAAGTTCTAAGTTTAACTTCAAATAAATTTCAAGTTCTAAGTTCTGATTAAGTTCAAGTTATAAGTTCAACTTTACGTTCTACTTTTAAGTTCAAGTCTATGTTCAACTACAAATTCTATGTTCAACTTCAAGTTCAAAGTTCAAATTCAAGCTCTAAGTTCAAGTTCAATTAAAGTTATAATTTCAAGTTCAGGTTCAAATTTTACAATCAAATTGATATCTAAATCCAAAAATTAGTTCTAGATATTTAAGTTTTAATCCAAATAAAAATCATCATCTTATCATAACACTTCTTTAATTACTAATTTCTAACTTCATATTAACATTGAATTGACTTAAAGTCAATATAATCCAAAAGAAATCTCAATTCAACCTCACATAACGTATTCCCAAGTTAAACTAGTTCTATAATCAAAAAGTCCTAATTCTTCACTAATTGACAATCCAAATTAATATGAGCCCTAATAAAAATCTAGTCTTACTATTTCACTAACTAACAATCCCAATTCTTCACTAACTAAGAATCGCAATTCAAAATAACTCTAAAATTAAAATCTTCAATTCTCTTTACCTAACTAACAATAATCAAATGAAATTAACAATTTAATAAGGAAATCCAACAAACAATAACAATAATCTACTAACTAAAAATCAATTATAATAACTAGAATTGAAAAAAAAATAAAACTTACCTAAACGAATTAGGAGAGGCATCGACAGGACACTGCAAGGGTGGAGACAGCGACGTTGAAGACAAAGGCGAAGGGGACGACGACGACGACGACGAGGATGGAGCGAGGAAGGGCGGCAACATGGAAGGGGAAGGGGAAGGAAAAGTGATAGAACGGATGGGGAAGGGAATAAGGGTTGGGAGAGAGAGGAAAGGAGATCTATGTAGATCAACCTGATGGTTTCTCAACTCCTTGAAAAGAGGATCAAGTTTATCTCTTAATGAAGGTCTTATATGGCCTAAAATAAGCCCCAAGGGCATGGTATGAGAGGATGGACAATAATCTCATCCAACTTTGCATTAGTAGAAGTCAAAGTGAAGGTACATTATATGTGAAAGTCATTGCAGGTAAGTCTTTACACTACTAAAAATCAGCTAAAAATGACGGACACATTCCTTAGAAAGAGGACAAGAGAGGATTTTCAAGAAAAATTCGAATAGACTGACAGAAAAGTGTTGGACGACGTTTCTCCAAAAAGCGACGACATCGAGTAGACAGTCGCTTTTTGGAGCAATGTCGTCCAATGCTTTTCTGTCAGTCTATTCGAATTTTTGAGTTGAAGTTCATCCAGTTGAACATCAACTCCATTTGTACTTAACCGTTTCATGAGCATACCGTGTCTCTAGTTCATCCAGTTTTCCCGCTATACTCATGAAACAGTTAAGTACAAATTGAGCAGGATGAGTTTATTTGTCGGTGGCTTGGGTCCTGTATCAAGCAAAGAGGGCAGAGCTGCAATGCTGATAGGCGACATGGACATATCCCGATTTATGGTTTATGTGCATCAGGTTAAAGACGAGAAGATAAGGAAAAAAGAATAGTATAAAAGCAATATAGATAAAACAGGGAATAAGTCCTGTCAACAAAAGTGTATTGTCAATTGGTCATCCTTTTAACAGATACAAAAGAGTCCTGCCCTACCAGCTGCTAGTGCACATGCACTGAAGAACAAGGGTGAGTACTATGGTCAGAATTTCAGAGCTAACCCTGCATATTAACAGGGTAGTGCCAGCCAAGCCCAGGGTGTAGGCTCGGGGCATGAAAAATGACTTCAGAAAGTTGAGCAACTAAAGTTGACTAAGCCTAGCTAGAAAATAGAGATCACTAAACAGAAATAAGTTTTAAAAAAAAGAAAAATAATAAGCTGGAGAAAATGTCAATTGTCTAACAAATAAATGGATGGAAATAGAACTGGGGAAGTTTTTTTACCAGAATGAAGAAGACAAAATTCATTATTGCTACGCCAAAATGTGAGTCTCTCTCTTATTCGGACCATGTTATAGGATCTTACAAAAGTGTGCTATTTTGAAAGATTCATTATACAAATGGCAACTCATTTTTTTGTTCAACATTAACAAGACATTACATGGGAGAGATGATTCTTTATATTATATCGATATTGAGTGAATGGAGAAGAATTGACACTAGGGACAGATTTAAAACTCAATTCACTCTATACCCACTTAATTTGTTTTGCATTATTTTCTAGGGTTGGGCTTTTAAAAAGGAAAAAGTGTGGGGTCATGGGTCTGTTTGGATTTTTAAAACTTGGGATATATTTGTGAATGTGGGGTCAACGATTTATTTATTATTTTTAACACTTAGGGAAAAAATATAAAACTACAAAATTTATCATAATCCCAAAACATTTTTCAAAAATATTATATTCTAATAAAATATTGTTAATTCATTACAAACGAGGAGACGTTTCATCTTCTCCAACTGCAACATCCCATCTGCTTTTTATCTACATCTTCCCCATATATTTATTTTCCAATGTAATCAAACTCTACTCTTCCCCATATACTTCTCTTCCCCCCATTAACTTAACACAAATGTTTCTCACTTATCATCTTTCTCAAATCACATTTCTAACTTATCATCTTCCTCAAATCATCATCTGGTTTTCTCACTCCAAGTTCAAAACTTCCACTTTTGGTAAGTTGGTTCTTCTTTTATGGTGTTTTCAGTAATTTTTATCGTATTTGGTTGTTTATTTCGTTATAGTAGAGTAATGATTTAATGACTCCTTGCTCGGGAGTGTTTTTCTTCATTTTCTTGCTTATGATGAATTTTTCGCCATATTTGATGAATATTTATCATCTCTAATGAGGTTTTTGTTTAGATATAAATATCTAATCCTATTTGGTTGCTTCTTTGTATTTTAAAAAATTATGTTTATTTCGCCTATTGATTTTGAGATTTTTACTAAACTTTGATCGACTTTAATGAAATTTTCTAGCAATCGCATTGTTAATTTTTGTTGGATCAGTTATTTATTTTGCATGTTCTATTGGAGATTTACTCTGCTTATGTTAATAAAGTACTTGTCGAACATATTTTTTTGCTTTTAGATTATAAATTATTGTTAAAACTAGAGGATGAAGCAATAAACCATCTGCTTTTATTGCTCTAAGAATTAAGAAACGTAAGGCTAGAGAAGTTTTGAAAACTTCTAAAAAGAAAATAATTTTAGTCCAAGAATCTAGCCTGATTCAATTTCTGAAACAATGATGGAGATTAATAATAACCAAGACAGTAGTGCTTATGCTACCGATAATGTTGAGAGCAGTGAAGGAGAAAGTGATAGCGAAGAGAGTAGTAGAGACACTAGTCGAGATGAGGATGATCCTCTATCCTTGCCAATTTGTACAAGAGATATCTTAGGTGAGTTATATGACATAGCGACATGGTTACATGAATAAGGATTATTTCCAACAAATATCTCTTTAAGATCAAGGATGACAGTTTATTGTGAGTTTCAAAAAATTCTAATTCAAGAAAAACTTTATAATAAATTTAAAGGTACTTGCTTTGGACATTTGAGGCACATTCCAGATTATTTTAAGTTCAATGGACAAATTGTCCATTACATGTTGTTGTGGTGTGTCACAAATGACAAAAAGTTGAATGAAATGTGTTTTTTTGTGAACGATAAGCTTGTATGTTTGTCTCACAAGAATTAGATTGATTACGGGGCTAAATTGTTCAGTATATCCACGTGAATCAAAAATAAAAAAAAGTTCTTAAAAATGTGAGAATTTTCACTTCAAGGTCACGAGGAACAAGAACATCACTTGTGCAAAATTTCTAAGGGTAAAAAGTAGTAAGCAATTAAATAAGGAGCAAAAATTGAAGTGCTCTTTAGTTTTGTTTGTCCAGTCGATATTGATTGTCCATGATTGGTCTAAGATTGTGGATTCAAACCATAGCAAAATGATAGATAATTTGGATTTCTTTGGAAGTTAACCATGGGGAAATAAGTCCTTTGATTTAACATTGATATATTTAAAGAATTGTATTTATTTGAGGAAGCAGGGGGAAATGTATAATGAAAAAAAGAATGCATGTTAAGTTCTTTACGTCTTTCCCCGGGAATTTTTGTTAAGTATTATCAACTATTTTGTCGATTTATAATATACTCTTATTTACTTGTGCAGTACTTCATAGCCTCTATTTATTTGTTTGTTCTTTATATGGATTTCAGGTTTGGATATCTGAAGTTATTCCATATCTGGGAAAGTATGTCGGGAAGTCCATGGATTCTACACTGCTCATTGCCCGTTTACTAAGATGATACACTTCAAAGAGCGAAGATAAAGTTGAAGGTGATCCATTTAAGTATAAGGAGAGAAGTATGAAGGTATACATTTATTTGTTATTATCTAACAATAATTTCAAATTAGTGAATATTGTGTCATACTTATATGATTTTGTAGATTGTTCACCCATACCTCATCCCTACTTTGCGTGAGATGGGACATAATTACATGAAAATATTTAAGCCATATATGGATGAAGTGAAGGAGGCAATCATCAATATATTGAATGCCCAATGGAAAAGTCTGACCGTCCTCACTGAAGGTGATGAACATTTTGGTGATCACAATGTACATTGTGTGAATTCTATTTTAGTAAACAGAAAACTGTACCTAGTACCTCTAATGCTGGGAATTTGGAAAATCTAAGTGATCGTGTCTTATCACTTGAGAAATCAATGGTCCGAATTGTTGCCTATATATGGGACAAAAAGTTGAGGAGAATTGAAAAGAATAAAAAAAAACAAGATAAAGGTAAATGTATAGTTACCGTCAAGTAATTCATTCCTATATTTTTTTGTCAAAGTAATATAGTACATGTGGACATTACAATAGATAATGAAGACTTGTAGTAGTTGATGAAGACATTGGTGAAATTGGTGAATTCTTTACAGATGGAGTTGATGGTATGACATTTGATAAAGTGACAGGTGATGGTGTGGTAGAGTATGATGTTGTATATGAAGTGACATGTGTAGTTGATCCAGTGATAGTTATTGATGAAGTGACATGTCTTGATGTTGTTGATGAAGTGACAACTGGTGAAGTGGCAGGTGTAGTTGATGATGTTGCAAGTGGCGAATAGGGAGGTGTTGATGTTGTTTATGAAGTGGTAAGTGGTGAAGTGGCAGATGCATTTGATGATATGGCATGTGCAAATGATGCAGTGACAATTGATGTTATTGATGAAGTAACAGTGGTGGTTGATTCTATGGTAGTTGATGATGTGGTAGATGCAGTTGTTCCAAGGGAAGTTATTGTTATTGATGAAGTGATCGTTGGTATTATCGATGAAGCGGCAAGTGTTGAAGTGGGTGGCAATTAATGTTGTTGATCAAGTGTCAGAAAAGAAAAAGGTAGAAGAAAAAAAATGGCAGTGTTGAAATGGATGTGACGAATATCGTTATGGAACTCAATGGTGATATTAATGGCGACGGAAAATAATTGAAGTGAATGTTAAACATTTGGCATGAAGACAATGATTTTTAAAGTATTTGGTATTTTAAGACAATGGTTGAATTGGTTTGTCATTTTACAATTTCGTGGAGAAAATACATTTGAAAGATTATAGATTTTTTGTATATGGTTAATGATAATTTTGAGAAACAATTTAACATATTTTATCATGAATGGGTTTTATGAATATGGTTTGCTTAATAGTATGTGATTTTTGATTAACATGTGTTATTGGTTTGTATATCTAATATTATAGATTGTTATCACTATTGATTTATATATTATCGATAAAAAATAAAAGATATAAGAGTGCAATAAATAAAGAAAAATACTTTCATTTATTCAGTCTACATTCCTGCTACACATTTTCAATAAGCAAATACAAAATATAACAATATAGCTTTTAGGCGTTTTTCTTTTTCTTATGTAAAAATCAACCTTTCTTTTAGTTGATCTCTATCTATTTTAACATCTTTTAGCAAAACTTTCAAGTGATTTCTATACTCTTTGGTCTCTTTTAAGAAAGTCATTAGCGGATCCCTATTTTCTTCAGATTCCCATAGGTTTATTAATAATTCAAATTTGGCAACGCCTTGAAAATTTGATGGGCTACTCGTTGATGATTTATTTTCAAGCCACCTAAAAAATGAGCATATATCAATTGAACAAATGAAGAATTGTCGACCTGGATTTGTATTGGTGTGTGACATCCTCAACGAAGTTGTATGTTTGAGACATTGTAAAAACAGAGGCTTTTGAGTTGTTTAAGAGGGATTTACTTTCTTTATATTATAAAAGAAGCAAATAGTATCATTGAAAAAGTGGATTTATACTTTTCTTACGGTTGTAGAGTTTGTTCATGTAAATACTTACTGGTTATCAAAATATATAGACCCTATATACAATTAATACATCTCTATATGCGTTGTGTATGTATAATCAATCAGATTTACACTCTTGCATTAGTGAGATATACTCAGGTTTATGTCTATATTAACGCATTATGGATACTTTCCCTACTACAATCGAACACTTATATCTACACCAAAACTAGTAGACTATATAAAAGACAAAATTAATTAATAATAAATTATAGTTTTGAGCTTTATCAAATTAAATGAGTTTTTAAAGTCATATAATCTTATAAGAATCCACGTAAATTAGGTATTGTGATTAGTGATGTATGAGGAAGAATTATAGTTATACAATCAACATTCTTATAACAATGTTTGAGAAAGCATAAGTATAATGAAAGGATGTAATTAACCCTAACAATAAAATTTTCAATTCACTAAGTAACAATCACAATTCAAACTAATAATCAATAAACCAAATTCAATAAACTAATTACAATAAAATATATAACAAAATCAGAGTATAATTTAATTTGAAAAAAAATTGAAATATTATTCAACCCTAACCTTGAAGAGGATGAGATATTGAGGAGAGAGGAGAGGAAGGGCGGCGTCAGCGTCAGCAGCGACGACGGCGTCTACAAGCGGCGGTCCGACGGGTCAACGATAGTGAAAGTGGTGAGGAAGTGGGGGGGGGGGGGGGGGCGGGGGGATTTCAGAAATGGGCAAATGGGGGAAATTCGCGACTGGTCTTTTACATATTTAATGAAAAGAGACGGATGACGTCGTTATGTCTTCCGCATTTTAAAAAAAATAGTTGACCAATATTTTGACCAAAACGGTGGACAAAGAGACACTGTCTATTACTTTTTTAAAAATGTTTACCAATTTGACCAATAAGGGACGGACATAAAGACGTTGTCCATCACTATATGAAAAAAAAATATTTTTGAATAAATTAGAAGCGAGGAACAGTGTATATAAAATATTAATTTATATATAATTATTTTTAATAGAAGCGATGGAAGGTGTCACTATTTATATTAAGTAAGGAATTATTAATTATATACATTTTTTGGCACAAAAAATCATCTAAAACGATGGACTAAAAGATGTTGTCCGTCACTATTCGTCAAATAATTTTAAAAATAATTATTTTTATTAAAAAGCGACGGATAGCGTCTCAAAAACCATCACTATTTTGTGAGATACCGTCCGTCTCTTTTCAATGTCATTTTCTCCCAGTTTTTAGTAGTGTTTGTTGTACATATGTTTTAAATTTTATGATGCAGCCTTATCGGCTTGCTAACTCTTTATAAGTTAGGATGACATTGTCGCCCTACCAATTTATTAGTTGAAATTATTTCAAAACTGCATTCTTCTGTTAGCCTTTTAAAATAATTTATTGAAGTAATGGACATAGAAAAATTCATGCCATTTTGTAAAAGTTTATAATTAAGATAAAGAACAGAAGTTATGTTTGCTTTTTGATATTTGATTGTTACTATATGAATTCCTTCCATCCTTCATTATTAGTATTATTAAAAACTACTCGTTAAGTTGAAGTCATGTAAAAAATATAATTAGAATGTAATAGTCAAGCTTCATTTTTGTTTATATTTTAGTAAAAATATAAATCAGCAAAATTACTCGCATATTATTTGAGTTATATTGTTCTCGAGTAACAATATGACATCTTTTACAATTATTTTACATTATTCTGACATATATTTTCTCATGAAAAAATGTAGTTTCAATTTAAATTTGGGGAATATTGCACATGCATGTCTTTCTAATATTCATTTAATTTTAGAAAGTTTGAAATACTTTATAGGGATACACGTGCAACACACGTCTCTCTCTCTCTCTCTCTCTCTCTCTCTCTCTCTCTCTCTCTCTCTATATATATATATATATATATATATATATATATATATATATTCATGTAATTTTAGAAAGCTTGAAATACTTGGTAGGGATACACGTGCAACACATAGGTCGATATGTATTCAAGTAAAGTCCATTGTGACCAAGTATCTATACTTCACTGAAGTTTGAGTAGGTTTATTCTTCTATTTAGTTAATTTACAAATAAAATAAAATGTAACACTCCGTAGCCAAAACAGATTAAAAATTAGTTTTTCAGAATAATTTGCAGGTGCTACCAACGGTGGCATCGACGGACCGTAGCCTGAACCACGGTTCGTCCTGCACAACCATCGATTGGATCAAAAACTCCAAAAAATTTCAGCCTAGAAAAATTGGTTAAGTCTTGGACAACGGACAGACTTATGGTCCGTAGGTCAAACGACGGTCCGTAGTCTGTGGCCGTCGACAAAAACACCCTTCAACTACTCTCTTACAAGAGCTATGGATGACCAACATGGTTTATAGGTGGACCTACGATCCGTAGGTCTGACCGTAGGGGGAAAATTTGTAGTCAGTTAAGGGAAATGCAGTTGGGTCAACTTAAAATGATCATAACTCTTATCACAAAATGAATTAGGTCTCCCATGATCTACCCACAGATAGATAATTTAATTATTATTCCATAACCACCGACCTAGATAAAACGTTATGCCGATTTTAGTAAAGGCCTATCGAAAAGGCCCTCATGACGGACCGAACGACGGGGCATCAGGCGCACGCGGACCGACAGTCCTGGCCATCGTGAGGCCCGACAGCAACCTTCCTAGGGGTCTTTTTTACCTTCCCCACTCTATTTAAACTCTAAGTTACGTCTTTTTGACCCTAAATCATAATATTTTAATTAGTTTTAAGCCTAGGAACATAAATAAAACATATCCAAGTCAATTCATTAAATCAAAACATAGAAAATTAGAAGCAAGAGAGGAGAAAAAAGCTCAAGAACCCAAGTTCAAGAACTCCACAAACTCCAGCAGTTCCAGCCCCGAAACTTAAGAATTTTTTCGGTGGATTTCATCACCAGGTATGTGCATTTCACTAGTGGGTTCCTTTCACCCATTGGGTCCTTAGTTTCAGTCAGTTCTTGATTCTCTTATCATGATTAAACCTAGGGTTTCTAAAACTTTGATATAACTTCATGAATTTATTAAATATATGTTCTATATCATATTATCATGTTATTACTCAGATTATCGCATGAATTGTCGAAATGTAGCTTTGTATTTCTTTAGTTCTTGAATTACACATGCTAGGTCATATATTTCAGACACTTCAGATTACATGCCTCAGTTATAAATGCATAATTACCAGATTAGTTGTTGCATGTTCAGTTTTGAGCTATTCAGTATTTACAGAAATTCAGATATAATTTGTTAATTTAAAGAATTTATTGGGAGTAGCATAATACCGAGTTGGACTAGGGTTTAGTGTACTCAATAGTCCCAGAACTACTAGCCGAGTAGGTTGTAAGTCCCCTATGTGGGCAATCAGTTTAGTGATCACGCCAACATGCCTTTATACCTTTGGCAGGGTATATTGGGTCCTCTCGATAGGGCGTATACATCGGACTCCACATTTAGCTCATGTGGTTTTATTATCGGTTATTAGTAGCTCCCACAGTTCACTCAGAATCTTTGCATTGACCATTTATCAGTATATTAAGTATTCAGTTTCATCATGTTATAAATTGGTCATTGCATTCAGTTAACTCAGATTTCATCACATCACGTTCAAATTATTATACTTATTTTTGTGCTTGTTCAGTTATGTTTTATTTCAGCTTTACTCTATCCTACATGCTTAGTACGTTTAGAGTACTGATGCATATGTGTGCTACATCTTCTCGTGATGTAGATTCAGGTTCTCACCATCCAGATCACGCATAGATCGATTTCCCGATCTCCAGTTCTGCAGATTCGGTGGTGAGTTCTCATCTTCCGAGGACAAAAGTCATGAGTTTCATTTCAGTCTTTAGTCATTTAGTTTTAGTTTATGCTATATTTAGCTGGGGCTTGTACTAGTATTTCTAATATAGTTTAGAGGTTATTTTCAGACATAGTTAGATTCAGTTTAGTATTGAGTTAATATTTCTTTCGTATTAAACTCATTGTTTTCAAATATCTCAGTTATAGAATATGGGTATTTCCCATCTTTTCATTTTAAGTATGATTTAGCTTCCGCAACAGTTTATTATTTTTAGTATGCTCATGATCATGCCAGTATGGTTAGCTTGGGATCACTTATGTTCTTAGGTTTCGTGTCCGCGTCTTCGGGGTAGCTAGGGGCGTGACATAAAACTTCATGTAATGAAATATATATTTAAACAAGTATAATTGTATATGCTTATCGTTACTTATTACTTTAACTGACAAACTAGATTTG